AATCCTCTTTTGATTTAGATAAAATAGTGTACTAATATATTCTACTACCTATCTTCCCTAGTTAGTTCTATTAAAAATGGTACTGTAAAAAGAAATAAAAATCAAAAATAAAATATGCCTGTTGTGAAGCATTTCACAGAGAGGCTTTTGTGTGCAATTTAACAGTTCATGGAAAAAGGAGTATCACTGGAGGCAAGGAAAATTCTTCCTCTAAAAATTCTCTCTTCCTCAGGTCATCGTTAGAGTTTGTGCTTTCACTTTTGGGAGGCAGAATATATTCAAGGCTGTGACTCATTTACATATACGACCATGTACTGTGCTTTGGGAGGGCTTTGGGCTTTTCAGCTAAAGCCTTCCATACCTATGGCTAAGCTTTGCTAAGAGCAAATGGTTGGTTCTACACTTAAACACTCCCATATGGCTCCCCTTAGTGCATATCAGTATGATTTGACCTAAGAGAAAGAAGCAATGCGCTAGCTTCTGTTCTATGCAGGCAGCATGTCTCCACATGGGATCCGAACCCTCAGCGGGAGCGCTGCCGCACTCCCAAGCGGCGCACTCTCCAGTGCGCCACCGGGCCGGCCCTATTTAATCTTGCATCAATGTTATGAGGTGGCTATTAAACATCTGAATTTACAGGTGAGGAAATTGACATAAGAGAGGTCACAAATTGCAAAATTGGGATTCAAAGCCAGATCCACCTAACTTAAAAGCCCATTCTCTGAAAGAATTCTATAAAAGCAAACCTGGGAATGCATGATGATGTAGAATATGCTATCCTATCCCATATCCAGCATCACCAAAGAATAAGGTATTCTATATAATACAATGTATTCAATATCACTGAATCTTATGGCCAGCGCTGATTTGTCTGGCATTTGAATCTGATTTCAAGTGGGAAACGAGAAGTGTTGCTTGTGAAAATTATGCATTAATACTTATATGCTTTGAGTGAGAACCTAAGGGACTGACCTAAAATAAATTCAGTAAATTTTATTTAAATCTTAAATAAAAGATTTACTTAAGTCTTAAAAAAGACTGGACAGTGAGGTTGCTGAAAAAAAGAAAAAAAAAGAGGAAACTGATTTCTATGAGTAGAACTAGTTAGATGATTCATAGAGACTGCTCAAACTTTGAGCTGGTTCCTACTTAGAGGAGTGAAGATAAGACAGTTCCAAATCTCTTCCTGGTCCAATAAATATTTTGTTTATAAAATACTGACATTGGAAATACGTAGGTAAGGAGAGGGCAAACAAAAGCAATGAAACAAGATGGGTAAACTGTGGGAAATGTAATGCTGATCCTTGATCCTTCATGTACGTATCTCCATTGCTTATGATTTTATTCTCCTAATAATCTTCTGAGATTTTAAGCAACAAACATTATAAATGCTCATGATACTATATAACTTAGTTAAAGCCAGGCATAGCATGTGACTCAATGGCCTTCCAAAGCAAAATTCTGGAGACTAACAACACATCTGATGTAAAGTAGTAATTCCTCTTGCTCATTCTACATTTCCTCCCATTAATTTCATTGCACATCTATTCCACATTGTCAAGCAAAAAGATTTTTAGATTTCACCAAAATAATTTAGACCATTTAAGTCAATACATATTAGATTTTTCTCTTTTCTTTGCCAGAATACCAAGGAGTTTTATGCTTCCTTTTAGTAACTACTCTTCTCTGGTACCAGCTTACTGGTGGGTTTTTTACAACCTGTATTACAACTGACACACCACAGTATTCCAGGGAATACAGCAAATTTAACATTAGGACTATGAGAATAGCTGACATCATAAGGCTCTCAAAGAAAGGGCTTACCTGCCCAGCTATGACCACTGAGCTGCCACCAGAAACACCCTGGGCTCCTGACCTGGGGTGGTGAGGGGCTGAGGGCTTTTGCCACACCCCCGACATTGCATCCAGCCCAGCAATGACCAAGCCACTGCTGGAAGCACCCGGTCTCCCCTGCCAGAATGAGGGGGTTGCCACGGGCCTCAATCATGCCCCTCTCCTTCCTCCCACTCCCCTCTGCAACCTTCCCCCCTTCCTCTCTTCCTCTCCCCTGCAACTGCTCCACAACAATATCTTAGAATGAGGCATGGAGCCAGGGGAAGGCAAACCCAGCCTCAAATATGCAAGCTGCCACCACTGCCCCAGGGTCCCACCAGGGTCCTGAGGCATGGATATGGGGAAAAACAAACCCAGCTGCAACCAGGTAAAGAGCACACCAAAAACACCATTTCCATGCAGGTAGCCCACCACAGCCGCCACAATTGCCATGGCTGCCGCAAAAGAAGTTAATCTCTACAGCAGCAGTCACAGCTACCACGCAGATGGCACACCAGATTCTCAACTGCATTGACACAAGGAGAGGCACCAGCGGAGACCAAAAAAAAAAAAAGAAGAAGAGATCCTCTCTCTTTCTCTCCACAAAGAAAGCACACTCCAGAGTAACAGAAGCAGCATCTGCTTCACAATAATAGGGGAGGACTTGATCTCACCTGTCTCAGCACTGGACAGATCATCTAGGCAACAAACCAACAGAGGAACAGTTGATCTATCAGAGGGAGAGAACAAGTCTATGGCTGTTACAGGGGGAAGGGGAAGGGAAGAGATTGGATAAGAGGCATAAAGAATAAGTATGATTTGTAATAATGAATATGCTAAAAGAAAGAAAGAAAGAAAGAAAGAAAGAAAGAAAGAAAGAAAGAAAGAAAGAAAGGGCTTATGTGTATTTATCTGTATTTCTGGGCCCAAGAATCTTCATGAAAGAAAGAAAGAAAGAAAGAAAGAAAGAAAGAAAGAAAGAAAGAAAGAAAGAAAGGGCTTTTGTGTATTTGTCTGTATTTCTAGGCCCAAGAATCTTCACGTTTCACAAGTGGTGAAAGTGATTCTGAGGCAGGTGGTCTACAGACCAGTTTTTGAGAAAAACTCCCTAATGTCAGCAATTGTAATGATGCAGGTAGTTCATTCAATTTCACTTCAATAGAAAATTGCAAAGATGGTGAGATTTAGGGGTCTTTCATAATTTTTCAGATATGCAAATGAGAATGTCAAAACAAATGACCAGAGTTTTTTGTTCGGGGGCTGTGTGTGTGTTTGCCATGAAATCCATATACTTTTCAACTGCTCCAGTTTTATACTAAAATGGTCATTATACTGTAGGCTCATCTGTGGGAGCTCCAGACACATCTGGTCTCCATCCTGAAGTAATACAAATGTCCTTGCATCTGGTGCAAATCTCCAACAAGAAGAAATGAGTAGACTTGGATCTGATATGGGAAGTGTCTCCTCAGGTTAGAATAAGATGGAAAGAATATGGTAGAGCAAGGAGGAAAAAGGGAGTGGAGATGAGAGCCTGGAATGGGGTACCCCCGTTCTACCAGCTCAGTTGACCTGCTCATTGCCATCTTCCCAGACACATGAGCAGGCTCTTATGTCATGCTCTAGTTTCTAGTTTCACCTCCGTTACTGCTGAGTGACACTCAGCCTTGCTTGCGGAGCTCCAGCATTGCCAGGGCTCTCAATGCTTGGGCAACAGTCTGGAAATGCTGATTGTTAAAGAGCATCTCAATCACCCAATTCTATCTCTGAAAAGACTGTCGTTTTCTAGGATTCTGCTTGTTCCCTGACAAAGTATGTAATTTTGCAACCCCTTCTGGGAATCAGGAGAGCTGAGAGAGCTCAAATCTTGCCCGTAAGGGTTGGATCCTTTCTTTATTTAAATTTTGATATTTTTCTCATGATGGATTTTCCTGACATTAATTTTGATTTTTAAAAATATTTCATTAAAATATTAAGTGTCTTGATGACTGTGCTTTTTGGCACCCATTACATTTTCTCCCTAGGTAAGTTTCTCACTCACCTCAACCTAGTCCAGGCTCTGGTGACCAATGAAAGGGCCACAAAGTCCTATATCTATTTACCCTGTGATACATTTAGACTTCTTCTTCACAAAACTTAATCTTATTATCTCTAACAAAACATCAACTATCAGTTCTGACTTAAACATGAGCTCTCCCGAGAGCTTAAAAATCACCTGTTTTAACTCCAAACTTCATAGATGTATCCAATCTACAGTTACACAACTACTTGTTGGGAGGTTAGAAATGGAACCTGAGACTTTTGACTCATTCAGGCATAATAATTTCTTTAGTATGAATATTAGTGTTACTTTCAGGTTTATCTATCTGATATTTGACATCAGTCTTAAATAAAAAAAGTCTTCAAAGAAGGTTTTAAATGGCCTTCTACTCTGATCTTTAATTGTAGGGAAGGAAACAATATTTAGGAAGGGTGACATTAAATAGTGATTGCAAAACCAACCATTTGTGAGATGCTCTGCTAGGTACAGTAGGATACATGAAGAAGAGTAACACAGTTAGTTCTTGCCAAACCAGAGCTTACAACTCGGGAGAGGTCGTTAATCACTTCGGCCAGGAGGAAGGGGACATTTCACTGAGTGAGAAATAGTAGTGTATTAAATCATCAGATTCTAGAACATTTTGAAGTGCTTCATACTGAGCTCTACATGGAATTGAAACTTCATTAATATCAACTGGCATAAGTGGCTGGCTGGTTAACTCAGTTGGTTAGAATATGGTGCTGATAACACCAAGGTCCAGAGTTAGATCCCTGTACCAGCCAGCTGCCAAAAAAAAAAAATTATATATATACACACACATATATATATATGTATATATATATATACACACATATATATATATGTATATATATACACAAACAGATAGATGCACAGGTATATAGATAAAGATATATAGCTATATCTGTGCATCTATTTTTAAATTAGTATACTTATAATTGATGTTGTTTACAGGTCATGGTTATTAGATATCAGAGTGGAAGAAAGTAATTTGTAGCTACTGTCACCATTATTATGATAAAACATGAAATTATCTAAAGATTCCTATCATTTTTCGGCTATTTTCTCAAGCACATTTTTTTCGTTATAATGTAGGGAAAAGTTTCCTTACTCGCAGTCTCACCATTCATCTCTTCAAGTTCACTGTTGATTCCAACGTCTATGGAACTCATTATTTTGTCAATCTGTGAGAAACAAAAACCATATAAATGGACCATTACATTCACTTTTAACATTGCATTTTAGAGTAATTTTCAAATGCTAGGAGCATATATTCTTTTGTTATTACCATGGCAATACCACAATTAAGAGACTGAAAGAGAAAGGATTTAAAAGGAAGCAAACAACTTTTGAATGATATTTTTAAATATACATTATGCTCTCCTTTCTTAAACTTTCAAAATTAGCTTAGCTTTTTCTCTGTATTTCTTAAAATAAACTTTGTTCTTAGATGGGTCAGTAAGTTAGAAACTGGGTATTCTTTAAATTCAGAAGGGAAGGGGCTCTGTGGCATCCTTTCTCTTCTGCTTGAAAGCATGCATCTCATCTGACTGGTGAAGGGGTGGATTTCAGTTTGCAGGCATGGCCATTGGAACCAAGTTCTATGTACGTGATTTGAGCAGCCACAAGCTGATTAGTGGCATCCAATCATGTGAATCTAGGCACAGAAACAACTTAATGCTAAGAGATAAGTTAAATATTAATTTATCTTGCCTCCAAAAATGATTCAGAAAAGCATTTCAGATGTTATTCAGAGAGTTAATACATATAAGAAATGAATATACTAGAAAAACTAACCATCTATGAGTATGGAATTTACAGAATTGATAGATTAAACTATAGCCATTTATGGCTTAATCCTCCTTCTCCTCATTTTAACAAACTAAGTGAGATGGCAAGTTTCAGAAAGGACAATGAGCATTACTTGAATGTCCCATTTTGTTCACCTTGAAACAGATGAGATATTAACTGATTTTCCCAAACAGCTCAAATTCAGAATATCAATATCACATGTACTGATGTTCGATTTTGTATCCCACAAATATACATAATCAATAAAAAAAAGAACATCAATATCAGGACCATATCTATTTCTACTTCTCACAATACTATAGTGACCTATTGTGCTTCAAAACCTAAACCAACTGGTACAGTCTTTTGAGAGACAAAATGTGACATGTTAGAATAAAATAGCAAGAGAGATTATGGTCCGTTCTTTGAAGAAATTCAAGAAAAAAATTCAAAAAACTTTATGATTAGTACTCCTTAGGGAAAAAGGATATTCCAGGGCCGGCCCGGTGGCGCACTGCTACAGTGCGCCGCTTGGGAGCGCGGTGGCGCTCCCGCCGAGGGTTCGGATCCCACATACAGACCGGTTCCCGCTCACTGGCTGAGCGAGGTGTGGGGGCAGCGCCGAGGGTTGCGATCCCGTTGCCAGTCCTGGTCCGGTACGGGTGCAACACTGAGGGTTGCGATCCGTTGCCGGACACGAAAAAAGACAAAAAAAAAAAAAGGATATTCCATAACCTTCCAAAGGCACTTACTTTCTGAATAATTCTATAAAATTAAAGATTTTGCCTGTAAGTAGAACTTAAACTGGTCATTCTTGACCCCCAAACATTTTTTTCCTTAATGTTTCTCTGTTAGTTGTAAAAAGGAAAATATTAAGTGTTTATTGCATGGTGCTTAGAGAAGAGCCAGGAGCACTCTGTTTACCATTAAGGTTAATATTATAAGGAGCTTTTTTGAAAATATAAGAATGGAGGCAAGCTAACAAAGAGTTTAGCAAGTAGCAAAATGACAGAGCAAAATACCAAGCTTTTTCTCAATTTTTCAGCTGCAGTGCTTGGTAGGTCATGATGTGAACATTTTCTTGTACCTCATAGCTAGTTATTACTTCTGCTTGATATCAATTTCTATGGAGACAATGGATTTCCCCACACGTGTGGAACTGTGCTTGTCTTTACACTTGCTGTGAAATTACCATGTATTACCCATAGAGTCTTTCCCTTCTAGTTGGAGCTGTATATATTTGTTAATTTTTTCTTTTTTTTGCCTCTGAAAGACTTAAAAAGCTGCAAATCCTTCCCCCAGTCCTCCCTCAACTCCAAAGCCTTTTATAAAGAAGAATGAAAAAGACAAGGCTTACTTCTTCCCATTCAGACGTGAAGGACGGTGTCCTCTCGGAATTCCCTTTGGAACTGTGTTCAGCAGTTGAAGGTTCACTCCAGTTAACCCTCTGTGTTTTCTCATTTGATGGGTAGGCAATGAGATCAGAATCCGACTTAGAGACACTTTTTGATAAGTGCATGTCAAGCAGGGCTTTAGGCAATGACCTTATTCTCCCCAGAGTACAGGCTCTCTCCACGAAACCCCCTGTGTTCACAACCCACTGGTCTCCATTCCGCGATCCACTCCTGGCTGTTCTTGTGCCAACAATGGTATGGTTTTCGAGTTGGTTGCTTCTTTTGTGAAAAATTGTTCTACTGACCACTTTGGGTTTAATTTTCTTTACTACAGGTTCCGAGTTACTCTCTACTGAAGGCTGCTTGAAAGGCAAAGGACTGTTTGCCGAACTGACTTCCACTTGTCCTTCACATTGATCTCTTTTCCCATAGAGATGCAATGGATTCTCGGGGGACTCGTAGGCTGGAGAGGACCCATGAAGAAGGCCTGCAAATTGCCCAGGATCATATTCTTTGGGGGGATCATTGTCCTCCTGTTGAGAAAGGTCATCTGCAAAAGGGAGGAAGAATGTCAGGATGTTTGTTTACACAGGAGTCTGAAAGCCATGATACAATAGCAGTGCCCTTACGAACCTGTGCCATATCCAGACATTTGATTTATTACTACATAGCAATACCCTCACTTTATGAAATACCCACGACCCTACAGTGCCATGTATAAAATGCGTGTGTGTGGATCACATCTTCATGATATACCTTAGACTTTATTTCAAAGGTACAAACTGGGTGTTCATTGAATGTCTGCACACCCTTCTCCTTTGTCCTTAGGGTATATGTTTTATATTGAATAAATGAAACTGGGCTTTCTAGAAGTGGAACACCCACATCCAAACTCTCACAGTAAATGACTCATCATGCAGTAGGACATCAGGCAGCTCCATCAAGATCACATAAAATGACATCCCCCTGCCCTACTCACAGCAAATAAATTCAATAACAAAATCTTGAAGTATAATTAGAAGTAATTTAAAGTTAATAATCCTGATAGTATTACTTTAAGTATAAAACTAATCGTATAATGTTATATGATTTAGGCAAAAAGGATGTTCCGGCTTAACACAGGCAAATAATGCAATCCATAATATCACTAAAAAGTGAGACTCTTTTACCGAAAACTGACGTTAAGCTACTAATACAAAGCTATCTTTTTTCTTTCTTCTCCAAAATAGCATTGGTTATTTTCTAATTTCCTCAGATCTTTGGAAACATAATGCAGAAAAGAAACTAAGGAAGAATGATAATTTTTATTGCCTTAGAATTTTTCTAAGATGAAATGTAATTCTTCCCTGAAATTTAAAATACACCATGCATTTTTTTAATGACTTAATTTGTCTTTTAAAGACACACTGTGTAAAAACCTGCCTAAAGAATTTAGCAGAGGATGTCAGTTTATTTTTTTCAGTGGTCATTTTAACTCACATAGATAGCTAAATATTTGCTAAGATCAAAAGTTAAGCTACCTGATAAACCCATAACTCACTCTTGAAAAGAAGCCAAGTATAGCCAGTGTGGTACATTATCACAATACACCCAAAGTTGATTTGATGGCTCATGCTTTAAAGAAGTTGGTTATTATTATAAACCCCCAAACACCAAAGTTTTTATAAATTAACAAGTAACACTTAATGGACATGGGCTGTTTACTCAGCACTGAATTAGAAGTTACAGTTGTATCATTCCATTTGATCCTCATAACAATGTTATAAACTTATAATTAATAATAATCATGATTTTCTGATGGAAAGAAGTATAGCTAAGATTTTGAGCTCTCATATTTCTAAGAAACTGGCCACCACAGTAAGTCCTAACAGACATTTGCCTAGAGATTGCTACAGGCAAATCTACTCTTTATATTGAGGATTGGACCCAGGTCTCTACACTGTTCGTCCTCCCTATTTTATTTTTGTTTCTCTTATTCCTTATCAAGTAGCATAAGACTTACTAATTTTATATCAGCATTTAAATACTGTTATTTACATCGTACTCTTTGCATTTAAGTCTTGGGATATCAGGAGAAGAGGAAACATCACCTAAGGACTTCACCTCCTCTACTGGGCAGGGGATTAATGTGTTTTCAGTTGTTTGCATCAAATTAGGCAGAACTATTATTCTGTTATTGACTCATTTGGAGATTAAGTATGGTTTAAGGAGATAAGTAAGGGCACCTAGTTGACAAGGGGTGAGCCTGTGATGGTTAATTTTAGGTGTCAACTTGGCTAGGTTAAGGACTACCTAGGAACCTGGTAAAGCATTATTTTGGGGTGTGTCTGTGAGGGTGTTTCCAGAGAAGATCAGCATATGAGTCTTAGTGGACTGGTTGGGAAAGATGTGCTCTCGTTATGGTCAGGAACCATCCAAACCACTAGGGGCCCAGAGAGAACAAAAACAGAGGAAAAGACAAATCTTTTTCCCTGTCCACTAGAGCTGCAATGTGCTCTTCTCTCCTGCCCATGGACATCAGAACTGGAGACTCTTCAGCCTTTGGGTTCCAGGACTTACACCAGCAGCACCTCTAGCTCTCAGGCCTTTGGCCTAAGACTGAGAATCACACCATCAGCTTCCCTGGTTCTGAGGCTGCTGGACTTGGGCTGAGCTATGCTACTGGCATCCAGTTTGCAGATGGCCTATCATGGGACTTAGCCTTCATAACCAAGTGAGCCAATTCCCCTAATAAATCTCCTCTCATATATTTATATACGTATCCTATTGGTTCTGTCTCTGTAGGGAATCCTGACTAATACAGCGCTCTGTCCTTGGGAGTGGTGAAAGCCAGGTTTGTTCCTAGCTTTACATATCCCCAGACCTTATCCTGTTTCCTGCTTGGCTTTTCCAAAGAGAAGATGTCTCCCTGCTCAGAGCTATCATGCCAGCATTCTGAGATGGAAGAAAGAAAAGTGACAGGAAGGGAAATCCAAGAGACAGTATTTCACAATCCGCACCCATCTGTACTATTATAATCACTTTAGTCTTCCCACAACAAACTCCATCCCTTTCTAAAGTAGCCACGTTATATCCTTGATAACTCCACTGTCTTCCGCTCGTAACAGAGACCATTCTTGGGGTAGAATAGTGGGGTGGTTACCGGGACAAGGCAGCTTTGAACCCTCTCTAAAGACTACAGTTTAGAGCCTATTATGTCCATTTCTTAGAAGTCAAAACTCACACTGAGACAACTTAAGTTGCTGAAGTTTCCCCACCTAGTAAGTGGTTAAGCTGAGATTCAAACTAAGGTCTATCAGATCCTAACATCCATTGACCTGGGAAATATATTACTATTAAGCTAAAAGAACAATCTGGAGTTGTTTACTCAGAGGACAAGCAAGTGGGCTGCTAGTGGAGAGAGACATGTTTCTGCTGTTGATGACTATTTCTGGAATTTGTGAAAAGTGATCTAAGAGCATTAGAGTTTTCACTCGTTTGTTTGGGTTTTCTTCTTGTAGATAAACTAATATCAACAGGAAATAAGGCCTGGTATTCTATTCCAATTTATTTTCTCTTTTTTCTTCATAGGCTACTTGGACCCCCATAGTGCTCTACAACATAAGCGGGTTGGTATAGGATGACAGTAATGGTGAGTAATGCAGTAGGAAGGTGGAATTATAAAATAAGGAAGTTTAGAATTTCATTCTGAAAGTTGCTGAAGAAGGCTGACAGGTTTGAAAGGAAAATTGAAAAGAGTCAGCCTATTATGGGAAAAAGATTTTGTAAATCTCAGTCAAAAGGGTTTCTGACCATGTTCATTACCTAAAATAAGGAGAGTTTTAGGGGTGTGATATTATTTAAAGTTCTTTGTGAATATTATTATTAGGTGACCATCCCCTCAGTGGTTTGACCAAAATGACTATAATCACAAGCCCCAAGCCCTTTATATTGTCTAAGTCTTCTAGTCACAAGAAGTCACTTCTCTAGGTAAAAGAGAATTTAGTTATTAGCTCCTAAACTTAATTTTTTGGGAATAATTCTTAGTATCACAATAATTGGCAACATTTTTGCCAAGAATAGTGAAAAGACAAATATTACTTGCTTATTTCAGTGGCCAAATTTTAAAGGTTGACTCAGATCGAAGAAAATGAGAAGCTGCTGTGACACCTCTGAAAAGTTCGTGTGGTGGATTGATGCAGTGGCCCCAATCTGCTCATGGCTCCCTGTAGCCACACCCCTCCCTGCAGCCCGAGTCCTCCCACGCTGATTCTCAGCGTGGCTGTGTGCCTTGAGATGGTCAATGAGGTGGCAGCAAACATGATATTAGCAGAGATTTGAAAAGCACTTGTGCATTAGACTTGTTCTTTTGTTGCTCTTGGAACATTGCCACCATGGGAACAAGCCAGGCTGCCCTGCTGGATGATAAAATGACACATTATCCAGCTGTCTTCAAATGTAGGTTTTATTTTTCAGGTATGGTGAAGCCAATAAATCAGGAGACAATTACCATTGAAAAGATGGACTCTTACAATCATAGATCCAAGAAGAGGGGTCACACCACGCCACAAGGGGCCACACAGGGAAGCACCAGGGTCGGTCAGGAGGCAGAGGGGGTGAGGGGAGATTTGGGGCAAGAGCCTTTATTGTGGTTTCTGTGGGAAGGAAGAAGCAAAGTGGGGATAAGCAGTTTAAGATTGGCTTATTTGAATAATTTCAAAGGTCTTGGAGCATAGTGGCTGTCCCTAGCTATCTGGTACCTGGCTCTGGGGTGATTAGGGCAAGTGAATAGTGGCCTAGAGTATGAGAGCTCAGTAAAGAAGGCGTCTGTCAGAATGGGCTCTGGATTGGTTGGTCTGCATATGAAAAGTGTGTTAACAGGTGAGTTGTTTGCTGTCTATAGGAATTAGCTAGCCCTGGGAGGGTCAGCTGCTCCAGGATCAGCAAGGCCCAAAGATGTCAAAGCATAAAAACAAACAAACAAAACAGCAAATAAAAAGACAAGGTTAATACACTGTCAACCCCTGGCAATCCCAGACAATAGCCAACCAACTTCCACACATGTGAGTGAGGCCATCCAGGACCAGGTAACCCCAGGCCAATCTGCCAACTGACCACAGAGGCAAGTACAGACCAGCTGAGATAAGTCTGTCCCAAACCAGAAGAAAACACCCACCAGAATCATAGCCCTCAATTTTTTTTTCTTTTTGTAAATAAAGTTTTATTGGAACGCAGTCACACCCATTTGTTTACATATCATCTAAGGCTACTTTCTTCAACAGCAGAGTTGAGTAGTTGCAACAGAGACCATACAGCCAACAAAGCCTAAAATATTTACTAATTGGCCCTTTATAGAAAAAGTTCACTGGTCCCGGAATTGTTAAGACTGATTTTCTGGGAAAATGTTAACTAAGGTCAAGTTGAGGTTTAGAAAAGAGTCAGTTTCCAAGTTGGGGGCTGTTTCTCTCATGAGTTAAATTAACAGCTGTTATTGTAAGCTTTTAAGTTTGGGATGGTTTGATTTGTGACAATAGACAGCTGATTCAACCTATATGCCAAGCTCTAAGAATT